ATATCCTCTACATTCAATATGTCGACTACAAGTACCGAATGTTCGCTTACCATCTAATACAGGGCTCTTCAAATCTGACCCTCGATTCTAAATCCAGGCCTTGTATTCGGTTCTCCCAGGTAGTTAGTTTAATAATTACTGACTCTGATTGGTCAGAGGCTTCACACCTGACTGACAGGTAAAGGAAGGCTGGAAAACCAGCAGGACTCGGACCTCGAGGACCGTGATTTGAACAGCCTTGTCTAATATGTCCCAGACCTTGACATGCTCTGTCATATGGGGGAGGTCCATCAACGTATAATCATTTATATAGTACTTATCATTTATAAGATATTTTTAACAAAGTATTTCAAGAGTCAAGAGTACAATTGCAGACCTCAAAATCATTATAGAAATCTGCTTCCCTAATTGCCCTGGCATTTGCAGGAATATGACAAAACTGCATGTTGTCGACTGGAAGATACTGCGAAGTTTCACCTCAGCACTTCTATGAGTGCCCTTTCAGCCTTCTACCACACCCCCCAAGAAAGATATTTACAAGTAATCCACATTTTTATTTCTGTTAGCTGACTGAAAGCCTTGATTCACAGTGAAGCCCGACTGTTCGTTTCCAGCCCTGACACTATGTTCAGCTGTCTGAGGCCTCGCCAAATCGCTCCAGAAAGGTCTGTCTGGGCCACTTTCCCATTTACCTGTACATTACCTCCTGCCTTGGACGATTACTCTGGCTCTGGTAGCCACGTTAATTGCCATCCTGTCATGGCTGAAACAAGCTGCTAACTTGTAGGAGGACCAGAGCCAGGACCTGTTGTGGCCCTGGAATCGTGCAGTGAAGCCAGCGCTCGTTGGTTCCGGCCCAGATTGTCCCTGGGGGTGCCGACTCTCTCCTGGGAGCATGCTGTGTAACCGCAGGTGTGCCCTTGAATGGCTTCTTATTGTTTTCTTTCCAGGCGTTCAGTTGTTTTGAAATTCGGTCAGGCTTTCTGGCAGCTACCACCGGAGGGGGGGAGCATCCATCTCGCTTCGGCTCCGGAACGTCGAGGAAAGCGTTCCCGGGAGCGAGCGACACACCATCCCGACACACCCCTTTCCATGCACGCATCCGGCATGTGGTCTAACCCTTGGCAAGCGTCCCCAGAATCACCGAGGAGCTCTACCGGTTTTCCCATGATGCATGCAAATGAGAAGTTGCACAGATGCCCCCCCACACACCACAAACACCACCCTTCTTCTCGGCACCCTCCCTTCAGTGGGACTTAGAAGAGAAACAGATGGGAGGTAGGAGCTGAAACACATTCCAACCCCCCCAGTCGGCCCAGAGCTGTGGGAACAAAAGCCGGACCCTCCGGCAGCTGCCTGTATTCTCAGGGCTTTGCGGATGGCTGTCGCGTTTCCCGCCTTATTCCGTCAAACAGAAGGATAAGGCGCTTGACTCTGCTGTCGGCACTCGAAAAGGCCAGAGGTCTCACTGGCAAGAAGAGGGGGAAGGATAAGCAAAGTGGAAAAATGTCTGCTTTTCCCATCTTGAGAGCAGCTTGGTGTCTCTCACGTCTCTCATATCTCCTCATGTCCGTTTTTTTATTTTTACAGAAATGATTTCCACATTTCTCACAAAACGAAACTATGATGTGACAGTATATGGTATTGCAGAGTTTATCCAACATAGCTTAAATTGTTCACATTTTTCAAAGTTGACGTATCTTGATGCTTCCACTTCAAGCTCAGGTGGACTTTCTTTTTCAAAACCACAATCGTTACAGCTCCCCTCAAACTTGTTTTGTGCTGCTGTTTCACCTTGACGCTTCTATACAGTAGCGCGAGGAGGAATGATTGCGCTGTTCCCTTCTTTCACAAACAAGCTTTTTTTCCCCAGAATGCATTGCACCTCACACAGCAATACGGCGCTGCCCAGCTGTGTATAATCATCCCCCTACCCGACACTGGCGGCTTCATGCATGTCTGGATGAAAAAGGTCGGAGAGAGCCGAGGGGTCTGTTTCATCTCCCATCCTGCTCACCCCGCCCTGTTTGATTCTCTCCGTGCAGCTTTCTGCTACACACAACTGAAGCTCTGCAGCTGTTGCTGCTTGGGCCAAACTGTTTGCAGCATAATGGCCGCGCAGTAATGGTTTTCCTGTAACACCCAGATCTTCATTAAGGGGGCTGCTGTCCGGCCGTGAAGCATAAGGAGCCCATCAGGGCTGCCGCTAACAGAGCTGGAAGGTGGGGGTGTGCACCGTCATATTTAGAGTGGGCGAAACTATGAGCTGTTCCTTGTAAATTTCTCGATTAAGCCCATGGGCCACAACATGAGAAGACTTTCTGTGATGACTGCTGAGGATGTTTTTGTTCCCTTCTGGAAGCAGAGAGACAAAGCTGACTCACAGGGCAAGAAAACGAGGAAGATGGGACTTGCAATTGCTGCTGTTCCCCTTTCTTTGCCTAAAGATCTAGACGTCACCAATACCCTCCGCTGACCACACCCATCTCACATGACCCGGTGCAGTCTGTAGCCAAGAGGTTCAGTCGTTGTCCCAGATATAGCGTCAGAGTGCTAGATATCCTGAGTCTTGGCCTGGAAGATCTGCATCTGAAGAGCGAGTGCGTGGGCTGGCTCTAGGGTCTAATTCGGCCAATCAGTGTCAGCGGCCTTAATCGGTGTGGACGTATCAGCCCTGTGCTTAATTAAAAGACATTCCTGCCATTGACGTAGGACTTATCTGGTTAGCAGGGGTTTTTAAAGATCAGAAGTAACAGTGTGAAAAAGTCAGGAGCTCCGTGGGATACTGCTTAAATCTCACTTGGATTTGAAATTCTATTTAACTCCTGCTTGCAGGCTTTCAGAGTCTCACACTCACGCAAGAACTCTTACAGCAAATCCATATCATTACATTTTAAACCTAAAATTAGCTACATCAAAAGTGTTGGGGCAGCCTGCAAACCCTACTGACTATGTGCAAGGTAATGAAACTGTTACTTACATGTAAATGCGTGTGCATGTGTGTGCAGACTTGTGTCAAATTTAAAATCTCACGCCAGCCAGCTGTCTAAATTTGGCAACCCTGCAAGTTAATAGATTTGAATCTGAGCCACATAAATACTTGAGAATAGGTCATTAATTGTAGCAGCAAATAGACATAGATTGCTGTCAAATATATCCATTAAGCACACAGGCTGCTCTGGGTGTAACTCATCCAGCCCCACCGCAGTTAGCGGCATGATGAAGCTGAGCTTCGTTCCTCGGGGGGCTGACAGAGGAGCTACGGAAGGAGCAGGGGCTTCCTGAAGATTTATGTGCAACGCGGCCTGTCAGGCCAAATAAAATCAATAGGGTCCCCTTATGTGAAGCCAGGGCCTCCGGAGAATCACACCTCCTACCTGCCATGCCCTCACCGTACCCACGCCGCCACTTGCTCCTCTTCTTCGGCGTCGCCCAATGCCCCCGCGGTCGTCCCTTGTCAACTCACGTTCGGATGAATAAAACAGATCGATTTATAAGGCAGCCCGGTCGGAAAACGGCATTCGCCGAGCAGGAGCGATGCGTGGTGTGAATTACAAGCGGAATTAATCGTCTCGGGTTTAACGTAGAATGCAGTGGCGTGGGGAGAGGGGGGTGGTGTTCGCTGTCATTTATATTCAGATGCTCTGCCGATGGTTTTTATTCAAATGCTCGTTTTTTAGCTGCGATGTTCAGTTTGCTAAGTCATGCCTTAAACCCAATATGCTAACCATTACAGCCTTTCTGCTAAGCTCATTGCTATCCTAATTTTTTCAGTCAAATTTTCTTCAAGTCAGATGTCAACATGCGAAATGAAAAATTCACTCATTGTATTAGATACGTCTTGGTAGTACTGGGTAGAACTCATTTTTCCTCCCAAACCGCACATTCAAAGCACAGCACTGACTGCCCTTTTGTTTTTGACCTTATGGCCTTCCACTTAGCTTTAATGAGTTGGCCATTCTACACTAACCTCATATTAATCGGGTGTCTACAGTCACACAAATACCATTGACTGGACATTTTTTTTTATCACACCATAAACTCTAGTATATCTAATGTGTGACCATCCCTGAAAAGTGGCTGTTTCTGAGATAATGGAAGAGCTGCATATGGCAACCACAATTACACCAGGGCCAAAACCAGTTAGATCAGGCATTTTAGCAGTTCTAATTCTCGCCAAACAGTAAGTGAACCCCTTCACTCTGTATGTATTCAGCTGCAGTTTCAGCTGCATGTTTTGCTGGTTGGATGAGCAGGCTGTTTGCATTGGCAAGCAGGTGTACCTAATTAACTGACCGCTGAGTGTATCTGTAAACAGTTTGTGGCATGAATAACTGCACATGGAAAACATACTGCAAATAGTTACTTGATAGGTGTATCGCTCAACAAGCCTTGCATTTTTGGCCATGACTTGTCTTGCCCAATAACATGGGAAAAGTTCTTCAGGAATGGTCATTCTGACTTTGGATTCATCAGCGGATGACGACTCGGCTAGTGGCCGATAGACTGATGAAAGGTGTCACAGGACAGGGGCAGTCTGCACTCATTTTCACTGTGTAGGGGGGAGTTAACCACATTATTGTTGTCAGCAGTCTGTATGGCATCCTAGCTACTAATAGTGTGTTAAATGTTTTAATGAGTGTGGAGTCACGTCATTGTGAAAACTGGGTTCATAATATTCTTTGTGGACTGTGTCTGTATGGGTTCAAAAGCTTGATTAGCTGAATAGATTCTGGCCCATTTTCATGTAACCCCTGGTGCAGCTAAAGGTGAACTATCCAGCCAATTGCTAATGGTGGTGATCAAGACTTCTGAGCCAAGGTGGGAGGGATAGTCTGTGGCCGCTTGTCCGCTCTGAATGATAAGTCATTGGACTTTAGGATTATTGAACAATGACTGGAATATTAGATTAACTAACATTAATGTTCATGATCTTTCTCCATTGCTGTTTGGCCAACATTAGTGTCAAGTGTAACCTCCCGGCTGTTTTCCGTTGCCAGGGGTGACGATGAAGCTGATGGATGAGGTCGCCGGCATTGTAGCCGCCCGGCATTGCAAGACCAACATCGTCACGGCCTCGGTGGACGCCATCAACTTTCACCGCAAGATCAAGAAAGGTGAGACAGACCTCGGGACACAAGATGTGCAAAAGGTTGGAAAGCTAAAAAACCAAACAAAACCTAGGTTGGCTTTTTCCGCCATCAAATAAAATGCTCCATCATATTGAATGATGGTGTTTATGATAGTACCAGCCTGGATTACAGGCCCTCAAACAGTTTGGTTTCAACACAGATAGGAACCAAATCAGCTCCGAACCCCCCCTGCCCCCCTAAACACATGGTACTCCCACGTTATCGGTAGGGACATGTCATTATCGGCCATACCCAAATCTACGGCCCTGTTCTGTGATATCTTGACAGGCTTCTTAGCTAGGATTTTTCATAGATTTTAATGCGCTACATGTCTTCTTTCTTTATACAGGAACTGTGAAAGAGTATTTGCATATACAGTATAAATGAATTCTGATATAAAGTAGCAGCTTTTTGCTGGGATTTATTAAGTCTGGCTTTTCGATGGGAGTCCCTAGGTTATGTTAGAATGGAAAACCTGCCCGTTGTGTCAGGGGACCCTTGTTCTTGGAGAGCTGGGGTCTGCAAATGGAAACTATGTCCCATGGGCTTGCAGGGCGCAGTTCCTGGAGTCGCTCCGTGCCACATTAAGTAGCTGCTACACACTCCATGTGTTTACATGATGGATATTCTGGGCCTCTTGCTTATTTATACCCACGTGATCCATCTCTCAGCGACTCTCAGAGTTTCCGGCATGGGGAGGGGCGGGGGCGGGGGGGTTGAGAGGACACGATGATGATCGATCCTTATCGGACCGTTTCCCTACAAATATACGAGCAATCATACGACCTCCGTTAGGCTAAATTCTGTCCTGCCCCAAAGAACTAAAACCCTTGATGTTAATATAGGCTTGGTCGTCTCTGCCAGTGTCATTTTGCCAGGAAATATCCAGCTCTGCTGAATGGAAAAAAAAAACCTCAAAGCAAGAAAAAAGACATAAAACAAATGTTTAAACTGCCAGGAGGGGCCTCTTGAAATTAGCATTCCTTTATGTAACCTTATAGTTTGACTCCGCTGCATGTTCTGTTCGTATGAGGAAATCATTTTCATTAGCGCAGTATGGAAAGAATGAATGAAATAAATAACCCCGAGCTATTTTCCATGGCTGTGGCATTTTTATTCTTAAAATGCTGTTGTGGTGAGGGAATGGCTCATTTTTTATTAACCGTCTTGCCCAGCTGTTTTCTTGACGGGATGAGCACACGCACAGGGGTATGTTCAGCGAGGGCACGGCCATTTTCCTGCCTTATATAAATCAGACTCCCATAAGGCTGATCCTGCTGCTTTGCCTTTTAGTGGTTATGCACAAGCCTGGATGTCAGGGGCTGAATGTTTCTGTTTCTTCCTCAGGGAACAAACTAACAAGGAGAGACGCTAGACATGTAAATTGCTCATTGATCCGCGGTGACCTTGTATTTTACGATCTGTCTGCATAATTTGGGCTAAAGTTAACGATTCGCCTTTCTGGATGGACCTGTTTGCCCACAACACGCCTTGGACTCACAGCACTTCCAGGTTTTGCTGTTGTTGTCAAACCTGGAAGACAATTAGCACCTAATTTCCTCGATTATACTGTGGCAAATTACTGAGGAATTCCTATTTTCCATGCTTATTTTTAAATGTTATCAGATAAGATTCATTATTTATGGAAATATTCCACTGATTCTTCTCCCTTCTCTCATGTCATAGATGCTTCTGTTCTAAATCATTTGTTCTTTGCTTTTGGAACTGTGTGTACACCAAGTCCTCCAAGGAGTGGACTGTGTACAAGACATTAATACATGACAAAAAACGATTTAAATAGAAAAAAGAACCCAGATATTTCTTTTTAGAAAGGCCAACATTGATTTGCATCAGTCCACTTTGGCCAACAAATTTTCAGCAAGTGTGACATAAGCAAGAGAGAACATTTGCCGGACATAGGTTCTAGGCTGCTTGTGGAAGGTGGAATTTTAATGCGATTGGACAATTTTTATTTCCTTTTCCCAGAAATCAGCTGCCTCCCACAGACATGATGTGTCCAGTCAGTATTGTCCTAAGTTTGTACACACTGCCACAAGTGACTAGCTGGGAAACATTCATCTCCTTTCATAGGCCAGTTGCAGTGCAAAGATCATGTGCTTGCTAATCTGAGTGGAACTCATGCAGAACCGTTCTCACATTTAAGGGACTGTCTTGTGAGAATTAAGAGAATTGTTTTGTTTTGTTTTGGAATAAATCATCTTGCCATAAAAGTAACCTCGACAATAGATAGCATCTGTGCAATAAACAGGATATCTGTGTTGTTTTTCTAAGTGCTCCCTTTTACCATACAAATCTCTAATTTTGACAGCCAGCCTTATTAAACAGAAGAACCAGCCCATTGTTTTACTTTTAAAAAGAGGCCAATTTATCCCAAAAGACAACAAAACATGTTACAAGTTTACAAGATGAACATATTGAATGCTGAGAAGGTTACTGGGTTTGTCTGCATTTCAGAGCGTAACAGACTTCCAGCACTAACAATTGGTCACGTAATCTAAACAGTATTATACTCATTCCGTAACCGCTAACCCTTTTCTTTTGCACAAGCTTGGTTTTGAACAGTAAACGTGTAAAAAAAATTGCATATATGAATATCCCCCACAATCCCCTGCTGTGTCTTCATGGCCTGTCTCAGGGGACGTCCATCCTGGTACATCCCCTTACTCTCCAGCACTGTGAAAAAAGCCACACCGTGGTTTATCTGTTAAGGTTATCAGTGCTAGACCAAGACACACTCAGATCCCTCTCGAGGGCCCTGCGTCTCTCCTCTAAAGAAAGCTTCTTACCCAGAATTGCTTCAGTGAAATATCTATTATTGGGTCAAGCATCCAGCCGTAAGCTAAAGTCCCTTCCCCTTGATGGAAAGAACCATGTGACCAGGGTAATTCAGACCCGACCAGAGTTTTGTTAAGGGAGGGAGTGTTTTTTGGGGGTGTGACCTGGTGATGCCCTGGTGATGTTCATCACACCTGTTGTGCTGTCATTGGTTGTCCTGCAGCAATGTGGCTTTTTTTAACGTGAACTGCACATGGTGTGTCGCACACTGAGGAAGGCGACACCCCGAGATGCCTCTGCGTTGTGTGCAGACTTGTAATAAAATTGCATTGAAGCAAAGTGCAACATCTTTTACTTTAAAATACGGTGGTTTTGGCAGGGGAGGAAACAAATGAACACAGCGTCATGCAACCCAGCAACATGGAGATTGGAGTCCACCATTAAGGTCTGGGGTGTCAAAATAAAAGCGGAGTGGTCATAAATGGGGGGAGAGCAGGAATGAGCAGATGGAATTAATCAACTCCTGGTCCCGTATAAGAGGATCCATCAGGCAAATAAATCATTTCGTTCCTAATGGTTTTCTCACTAAATCTATGTCCATTTCTACCCTCCCACTTCATACATCCTCTTTTGTGGGGTCCAGCTCTTTGATCTTGGTGCCGAAGAGGTTCGATTTGACTTCCTGCTGAAGAACCGTCAGGCTCGATTTCAGTGTCAGGCAGGGATGGTGTATCTCGCTTCAGCATGGTGTATCTCAGAGCTCCGAGCGGCACTCCAGGCCTCCAGCAGTGTTCACCAAGTGCCGCAAATATAGCTGAGATAATTCAGGACTCCTCTGCATTGTTACACTCATGATGAAAATTGGTGTAATGCCCCTCCTTTGATGTGACACATGCCGAGGGACTCAGAATCTCAATCCTGAGGTCCCTCCATCCATTGTGCCCTTGAATGGTAATGTTATAATGAAATCGTTGGGTTTTGTGGCCACATGGTCATGCTGCGCGAGGTGATTATTCCACATTGCCGTATTTCTGTATCAGCATGTCCTCAGACAACCCAATTAAATGTTAATCAGTGTAAGTGTCCACACAGGACTTCTGACATTTTAAATCTATTTTTTAATTGCTGCTGGTGTATTATGAACAAATTAATACTTGAAACTATCCTGTTTCTTTATAATAATTGTATCCCCATAACTCCAAACCATCTGTGCCCAGTCGTGTGTCCAGATTATCCCGATGTTCATACGTTTCACATATTTTTCAGAGTTTGCACATATGAATTCCCGGTACTATCACAGTACTGGGCTCCTGAATATATCGTTTGTTATTTACATATATTAACATATAGCAAACATCTACGCGACCAAAAAGTCACTGGAAAATTTTATGTTGCCACTACTGAGGTTTGTCCACACACAGGAGTCCGTACAATGTAATTTCGAAATCATATTGCTACAATCAGAACGACATCGTAATCTTCACCAGACCGGCATTAACCTGCGACTTCAAACACCCAGCGTGCTTAGCAAAGAGCTTAAAGACACTGAGTTGTGGAGGTGACAGGGTGTTGAATGGCAGCTCAGCTGGTTTGGAAGGATGACGCTTCTGTTCATCTGCATAAATTAGTAAAAATACAGACACCTCGATGAAAGTGCTGGATGAGTAATAAATGACAAATATTACAAAAGACTTGACCTGTTCTGGTTGAAATTCCAAATGGCTCGATTGGACAGCCATAACCCAACTGCCTGAATATCCGCGGTGTGTTTTCTGTGGTGGTACTCTGATGTTACCTTTGAGAAAGGTTATTTTACCAGCTTCCATGCACAGAGTGACCATCACTATAAACTAATGTGTTTAGCAAACAAAAAAGTAATATAGGTACAATAGAGTATGATCTTTTATAATTGCTATGCCCTTTCTGTGAGTGAATGGCATTTCCGCCATAATGTCATAATGAGCTGCCTGAGGTGTAGTAGGTGCTGCATGAGTGGCTTCCTGGTCTTGCTGGTTTTGTTGTTGTCGCCTGTCAGCTGTTTGCACACTTCGCCGTGCAGCCGGCTATTAACCAGAGACGCCCATCGGAAAACGTCTCCACCGCCTCCGTCCGTCACGCCCAATGAACCGACTCCCACACCTGGCGCAGCGGGAAGTCGCTGGCATGGATCTGGCAGCCGGTAGCGTACCGGTTGGGATGTGGGCTCCAGACTCGGACAGCATCCAGTCCTGGTCTTTGCATGAGATAAATTTCCTGGAGTGGCCATTTGTGGGTGGCACAGTGGTGCTGTGGTTCGCGTAGGTTTGAGTCCCTGCCCCCAGCTCCTAATGTGTGGAGTTTGCATGTTCTCCCAGTGTGATCGTGGGGTTTGTTTTGGATGCTCTGGTTTCCAAATGTCCAAATGTGTTTACACTGCAGTCTGTTGGTTCCCTGTCCTGGGTTGTTCCCTGCCTAGCTTGTGTGATAGGCTCCTCACTCCTGTGGTCCTGCGTAGGACAAGTGGGAATAGAAAATGTGTGAATGGTCCTATATGAAGTATCACAGTCAAGGAAACTGATATGAACTTGGTTAAACTAACTGTCAGTTGTATGAAACATATGAGGGTGAAAGCAATTATTTAAAAGCAAGGGAATGATGTTGCAAATTACATCAAGATTTTTTTTTATTGCAGACATGTGCTTTTAAAATCCACTGACAACATATTTTTATATAGCAGATGTTTTTCTTCAAAGCCACTTACATAATCATTTTAACCATTTATATAATGGCATAAGTTTGGGTTAAAACCTTTCTTGAGGGCGAAACAGCGGCGCCCTTTTCGAGACTTGGGCTGGGAAATTAATTTATTGTGATTTACTGAGAATCACAGTCCCGCCATGTGAAGCAGGACTCTGATTGGTCCTACCTGTGGCCTGTATGTTATCACAGACCCAGGAGCCGAGCAACAGGGCAGTGCCTGGCAACAAACGCCTGCCCCAAGTACCTGCTTCAGACGAGCTCAAGCGTCCCCAAACAAGCAAACTAACTAATCAATAAGTCATGCTGTTGCCATGGCAATCAGCCAAAGCACCACTATGAGAAAAGGAAGGTAGAAATGGATCTCCAGGGATAATCGTCCTGCTTTAGAACCAGAACAGGGCTTTTTTGAACTCTGTGGGATTATGTCATGCCTGCATTCCACAACAGCAGCTCAGTGACAAAACAGAAGAGCAATCTTCCTGAGGGACGCAGTAAATGTAGCAACAGTGCATGTAACAGTCAAACCTTACATCCTTTAAGCTGGGTTTCTGTGCAGTATCAGTAACAAACAGGCCAACATTTTATGCACATTCTGTGAGTCTTGGCCTTGCGTGAAACGGTCTAAGGACAGAATGCTTGATTGTTTGTGATGAACATGGTTTGTGATGTGTCACAGACACAGACCCTGTGGTACATGACCTGTAGCACAAAGGCCACAAAATTGTTTCTGATGCTGAACGGTGATGCCAGTCACTGATCCAACTGGATGGGTTGCCAGAAATCGAGCTAAAATTGAAAATTTCACTGCTAATGCAAAACAGTGAAAATGCATTAATTAGAACAATACAAAGAGACGGTGATAACCCAGTTCCAATCATAAGTTCATAGCTTTACTGTCATAGGTGATAAAAGGTCTCTAAAATTTCCTACAATTAGAAACAGGCAAAGCAAGGTAAGTTTATTTAAATAGTCCCATTCAGGCACAAGGCAATTCAAAGTGCAGGTTGTTTCCTTGTGTACATCAGTCAAGGAAATCCTGCTTTCTGCAATATACGTAGATGGACAGTTGGATCAATACAACTTTTCCCTATCATGTGTCCATCCATTATGAAAACCTTAAGTCTTTGCCTTCCCATGATGCTTCAGAGGTCCACTTTGTGCCACCCATCCCAATAAAGGCACCCTGGGCTGACATGGCATGCAGCTGAAATACTATTCAAACCCTCAGGGGCTTCTACAAAGAGAAAAGGAGAGTGCTGACACAGCAGCTGGGAGCCGGAACAGAAGTTAATCAGAAAGTCGTTGTGAAGGAAGACCTGTCTGTCAAGGACAAGTTATTATGGGGCCATGATTGACCCCAGGCTTTGGGGGCCTGCATCACTCTTAAAGCAGTAGTGACAGCAAGGCAAGCTGCTGATGTTAGAGCTCTGGTGCGTGACTGTAGCGTAAGAAATGTTTGATGATGTTGGGGTTGGAGCACACCCCGGGGCATAGATGGGGAGATTCCATAGCGAGCTGCAGATTATCCCTCTGTTGCAACCAACTGTGTTGTTGTCCCTGCAGGAATCCAGCACTGAAAGCTGCCTGATGTGACTGTAACCGACCTGCATCCTTGGCCGATGAACAGATTGTGAAAGGCTGACATGGAATCCTTATGTCTTCTGTCTCCAGGCTGCATTTTGACTGTCTCTGGCAGGATGACCTTCACCAGTAAGAAGTCCATGGAGATTGAGGTGTTTGTGGATGCTGACAACCTGGTGGAGGCAGACAAGGGGAATTACCGCGCTGTCACCGCCTTCTTCACCTACATCTCCTTGGATAAGGAGGGCAAGCCTCTTCCTGTTCCCCCACTGAAGGTAGGCCCTGAGAACTGTGGGTAGGATGTTAGGAAGACACGCCCATCAGTACAGCACATGACCAGCACACGGCCAATCAAGAAGGAGCTGTACACTCTTATTTGCCCCCAAAACAAATTGTTCATAAGCGATCAATATCAGGAGCCTTTAAGATCTTTACCAAGATAATGTCATCTGGCCCAGAGTTTCCTGACCTGAGTGCAGGTGACCCACTGTATATGGTGGTTCTCAGTCCAGCCAAACACTTTCTTAATTACAATCTTTAAAAATGATTAATTGATTAATTTCATTTAATAAAATAAGGAACACTATAATTTATTTCCCTAATTGTTTAGTTAAGCTCAGTAATGAGGAGTTAAATACTTCTGAAGTATTTTGTTTCTGAGAATTGAATTGGCTGACAGATGAATGAGGCTAATTAATTCCTGTCTCGGTTGGAGCAGTATGGACTCGGGAAATCCTGATCTACTGCCTGATATGTAGTGGTCTGAAGCCCAAGCTTATGTTGTACCCTGCATAAAGAAAGTGATTTGCTTCAGTCAGAACAATTTATGTGAGAATTGTAAGCTATTGTAAAATTTTATATTATTTTCTGTGGCCCTCACTGACGCCCCCAAAGCCTGTGACTTCACCTTGATCATTATTACTGAAAACTGTCCTAGATAGCTACTGCACTTGACAGATCCTTGTCTTAAAAACGATTTCAGTTAGCAAAGAAACAGCTTCAAGACCTGCAGTACTGTAGTTTTTAGCATGTGATTGCATTTAAAAAACGTGCTTCAAAGGCCCATCTGTTGATAATTGGGTGGTTGCCACAGAATGATGCCCAATCAGGCCTGCTGCCAGGGTGCTGATGTCACATTCCAGACAAACAAGGCGGAAAATAGCAACCCAGTAGTCACTGTATTACTACTAGGAAGCACAATGGCATCGGGCTGCTTTTGCTTCTGCCTGCCAATTGCTGATGTGAAACTAGCTCCTGGTAACAGAATTTCACTATTCGGAAACGAAAAACCACATTTTAACCCACATTTGTTTACTTCTCAGTTTATGGTCCCGGACTTCCTGGCAGGAACAAAGCACAGTAAAAATGCTGTAAAATCATTTTCGATGGCTAGTAGTTTATTAACAACTAGCACAGTAAAAAAAATTTATGAGGAAAACTGGATGGATGAAACATGTTAGAGCTGGAGTTGCGCCAGCGACAGAAAGGGTGCTGGGTTGCTATGGTTTTACCCCCCAAAAGAGGTGACAACGTGATTAGCACAGTTCAAACTGAAGGAATAGATGTGAAAATGGGAATTTGCTATATCCACAATGACCAAAGATAGATAGATAGATAGATAGATACTTACATACATATATACATACATTAGCATAGCCTCAAAATTTTTTACATTGCATTTCAGCTATGTAACATGCTCTGCGTAAATTAAACTAAGCTATTGGCAAGTTGGGTGGAGAGTAATTAAAGCACCATAAATATAAATATGATGTAATGTATGTAATGTAGCGTATGCTCAGGGTTCCTGTATGTAAACATAGCATTTTTAAAAATCGCATCTGCACCCTTCGGTTTTCCCCATCTTCAGCATTGGTAATTCTCTGGCCAGAAATAACATGCTCCGCTGTATAAATAGCATATATCGACCGGGGCAAGTGCAGCTCTAATTTGACCTAAGGTGATGTTATCTTCAGGGAAAAAAAATACTCTTGTGTCTATTTTTAGCAGGGCCTATTTTAGCTGGGAGTCTGGGGAAGGGGCCGTGATTGGCTGCCAGGGCCTGCAGTTTGTGTGTGTGTGTGTGTGTGTGTGCGTCTGGCCAGTTGGACATGACTCGTACACACAACGTGCATGGCTGCACTGCTGGGGGAGGAGACACAGAGACACGGTGTTTACCTGTGTGTCCTTGCGGCACGGCGGAGCCTAACGACGGGCTTTACGGCACGGCGGGTCGGAGAACGCGCGCCGCCGCAGAGTGACAGCTGAGGATTTTGCCCTGGCGAGTGTTCAGCTGGGTCCCTTCACTCACAGAACAAGTTGGGTTGCTATAGCAACCCTCAGCGTAGGAAAGCGGGAGTTTATTTTTATGCGCTTCTGCGTTTGACAGGGGTCATCGGCGTTGCTGGAGTGTGCTGCCCGCATTAACCTCTCGCCCCTGCTCATTTTTGTACGCGGCCAGCCCCACGTAGGCTTCCTCTAAACTGAAGCATTCCGGAAGCTGCCGTCGGGGACGACACATCACCCTGGAATTATGCCAGAATCGGTCCCATTGCCATTGGATCCACCATCTGTTTCTCTGGACTGAAACACCGTCACTCTTCCAGGGTTCTGCCTTTTTCCGGTGCTTTACGACTTCACACAATGGCTAAATGTTAGGTTTTTACTTAACTCTATCACATCAATTTTTCTATTTTCTCAAAAGTCATACCTCTCAGCTTATTCCCTTGTTTAGTTGTTGTCATATTATGTGACTATCGGCAGGGGTGGAACTTACGAATTCTAGCTAATAGCCGACTGGGCTACTTCAGTAAAAAATGTATGAATTTGTATTTACTAGCCAGCAGGCTAGTGCTCAGTTTTTTTGTATTCATATTTGGCCTAAATTACTCACCTCAGGCAAATAGACACACTATTCCAGCCCTAACTATCAGGCAGTAAATACTGTCACCTACCATAAATTCTGCTTTTATTGAGCATTGTCCATGTCATTCGCATCTGTAAATGCAGTCTGAACTTTGAAAAACTGACCTTATAGCATATTTATATACCCTAGTTTTAGGGCGTTTTGTTGACTATAAGCAGTCGCTGCAGGTATTGTCCTCCCTATGTCAGTGGAGGTCAACCTTCATCAGGGGCCCTGCAGGTCTTGCTCATAGGTCTCCGCCCTGTTGCAGAACTTATCTAGCTAGCACCCTATTGGCTGCCAGAATATAAGGTGACAAACCGATAATTACTTTAGCCAATCAGTTAAGAGCTTCAGTATTCAGCATGTGCAGACCATGTTGGGCCACCACCACTAATAATTGATACTTTACTGATCCCCGTGGGGAAATTCTTTTTACGCCTCCCTCAACTTGCTCTTTGTAGAGTAAGTTGTCCATGAAGGGCAGCCACCTGTTGGGGCACCCAGGGAGCTGGGGACTAAGGGCCTTGCTCAAGGACCCACAGACGTGCTGAACCGGCGACCTTGTGATTACAAGTACACAGGCTTAGCCCACTGAGTCACACGCTGCCCCATAATAAGTGATGCAAGCAAAATTTATGATATTATATTTCAGTTTGTGGGTGTGATGTGGCCCTTTCCTGCATTATTATTATGTATTTTGCATCCACCCATTTTCCATACCAGTTAGTCCAACACAGGGCAATGGTGGGCACAGGGTGGGGGACACCTGGGATTTTAGAGAGACACCAGTTCAAGTTAAACGCTTGTCTTTGGTTAGAAACCAGTATACCCCAAGCAAATCAACACACTTGGAGAACATGAAACCTCCACACACAGAGAGGTGTGGGATTCAAACCCTTGAAGTACGAGACCACTGCGCTGTGGTCTATACACCAATACTTGAAAAGGATGTTTTTTGTTGCCTTTCCAATACTGCCAATTTCAGGAAAGCTTTGATGCTCTTTGGTGACGTTAATTATTTCAGTGTTGTGAGCGGCGTTCCAAGACAAGGAACCGTGAAATTGTGTAAAATTTGTGAAAAAGGCCAATACCCAACAAACAGCCACTGTTTTTCAAAACAGAGAGATAAGTTTATCTTGAGTGAAACTAGTTTTTTTTGCCAGACATCTCTTAATATTAAGTGTTGTGGTGAGGAATGATTTAAAGAAAGAAATGCATGTTTTATCTTAAAAAAGGGAAGCGGAAAATGAGAAATGAAAATAAACATTTCAGTTAAAGTTGCCCCATGAAATAAATATATAAATACAAAATTAGAATTTTTGAAAACTGCATCATCTAGTTTAATGATATTGTTATTGTTATTGTCATGAGGGTGAAAGGCTTAATGATTCTGGAATAAGAAGATTGCATGCTAAAGTCAGTTATGCTAACTAACAGAAAGCACTGGGTGGCAACTCAGCCAATCATGTGTCTCCATCCAGAAGGTCATTTGCATGTACTTGTTATTCGCTGTTTAATCCTCCTGTTGGTGGAGCAGTGGCACTTGGCAGGAGAGCACTATACCAACTGGCCAGTCTTCTGTCCCGAAGCAGCCTATCGCAGACCTGCTGCTTGCGTTACAGCATGGCCCCATGCCAGATCCATGCCAGCTAGCCTAATCGCAGTCCGCTGGCTGACTGTGGCCATGTGACTTGTCGGGCAGCTGTGTGTAAGCAGCTGAAGGCACACGGGGAGGGTACGTCTTCTTGGATGTTGCAGGTGTAGCCCAGCTGGTGGATTCGTTTCGGTAATTGTTTGGTAAACCCAAAAAATAATCTTTCTCAAAGTCAAAGCAGGTAGAATAGAATAGCATAGCATAGAATAGAATAGAATAGTCTTGTTTGCCACATGGCTGAGGCTGGTGGAAAATTTTGTTGGTACAACTCATTGCAGAAAATAGCTAGCAAACGGAATAAGATGACAGGATGCAAATAATAAACTAAACAGAATAGGTACACAACATAGAGTATATACAACATAGAGTATATACAGTACAACATAGGACACATGCAACTTAAATGTACTGTAAAATAAGACTATGGGCTAATTGGAACACACTGTAGAATAGATCTCTAACAGAATGCATGACATAACGCAAAAGTGAAATAACTCAAGGTTCAAGGTGCTTTCTATACTGGTGGTCTAGAATCAGACAGGCAGGTGTTGACTAACTCCAAACTCCCTCATTATTAGTAGTATCACACATCGCGATGTATTGATGCATTCCCGATAACTTGGAACTTGAAAATTTAGAGTACTATAGAACAGCCGAACGGAATGGATTCCTAATGCAAATTTTCACAAGCGAATGCTTTCGGTACCATTCGATGC